AAAGTTGTCCATATCACACCTTCCGTCGTCCTTCATATCACATCTTCAACAAAAGTACTCTTTGGTGTGGCAAAAGGAAATAGTATCATTATTGGAGCGAAGCAATTCTGCTTCCAATTCCCAAGAAATTTGGCAAGATTTACTATGGCAATTTCGAGGAATCAGCCAACTAGACATTTCCGAAATTTTCACTTCCAAATTTTTTTATTCCCACTAAATAGACAGCAGAATTGGACCGAACCAAAGTATATTTAGACTGCAGTTGTGCTGACCAGATATTCACGTTAACATGGTAGAATATCACTTCAAATATTAGCAACCCACCTTTATTTCAACGATTCTGTAGCTGCTTTCATTTCAATTGATAGATTGATAGAGCAGCGTTATGGATAGAAATGGAATGTGGCAGTGTTCCAGAGAAAATCATTCAAAATCATATAAAGGTATTTTACCAACATTTAAATTTATATATAGAAAACTGACGGACTTTTTCGAAATGAAAACACTGGTGCTCGTCAAAACTGCGTCCTTCCTCCAGCAATATTCATTTATATATCTTGATATGCTAATGATGTAGTTCTTCTTGCAGATAGTTACGATGAAATGCGAATAATGCGAACAATCGACAACTGCAGCGAGAATCATACTCAGGACCAATGTAAATAAAACGAAAATTTTTTCGTCTTATGCAAGAGGCTAATAAAATACCAATTTTTATAAATTATTGCTGGTTGAGTAGGTGATGAAATATTCTTGGATCCTCTCTATTCCCAAACGGCCAAGCGAAGAATGAAATTACAAATTACAGCTCGTTAGTTAGAAATATTTTCTTTCGGTTCAAACTTTATGGAGTCACCATGAAATTACTATAAAAACGGAGATCTATATAGCTGCAATTCGCCCGACATTGCTATATGGCAGCGAGACATGCCCGATGAGAGTAAACGGTATTAAGAAGTTATTTATCTTCTTTAGCCATTCATGTTTAAGATACTGCTTCGCCGAGCGGATAAAATCTGATGATTGAATCCACTTTCACTCAAATACCACTTGTTCACTTAAACAATACCATATTAAAAGTGCCCATTCCTATAGAGCGTCACCTCTGGTCAGAGCATGTCCTTCGTTATCCACCATATACTGTTATATGTTTCTAAACGTTATCGATGGTTAATCAAAACCTAGACTGATAGAGTCAGAAAAGATTTGAAATATATAGGTGGACCAGTGATATGTGGACAATGAAAAAAGGAATGGCTTCTATTAGTGTCAGCGATGGTATTAGACCGAATAGATTGAAGTCGTGGTGAAAACTATTAAAAAAAAGTTTATATACCATCGACAAAATTCACAAGAATGATGAAAAATTTTTGGCGATCAATATTCATTGTTTCAGCATGTCTAAATATCTATTGGTTGACCTAAATTCTTGATCCAAATCTATAGACAAGCCTTACTAACTCAATAAACAATCGTTTAATTATTTCTCCACTCTTTAACACTTTATTTTGATTTGCTGCAGAATTTTTCGAATCCAACAACTAATTTATCTTCCTTCTCTAATAGCTTAATAGCTTTTATCATTATTGACTATGCTGGCTCCATTAGTTACAAAATTTAGAAATTTCTAGATTTCTAATTCAAACATTTCTCGTTCTAGTGCAACATATATTGGCGAGACAGTCATTCTTCACAAATATTGGATTTCTTTTTTAGTGAACATTTTAAATTTTTTTACCATATTTTCCTTAAATTTTGCGATTATTACCAACGCTAAAAAATGTACTTTTGGGCAATTTTCATGCTCTCAAATGAATGAATCGGATTTTAATTAAACAATTTCGAATTAGAAAATTGGTCGATAGCATTTTTTAAAATAATTTTTTCATTATTTGATTAATTTGAATAATTTCAATTTCAACAGCAAGGAACAAGTTGCTTTATTATGAAAAATTCACATTGCTGATGTTTGTCTTATTTAAATAAATGAAAGTAAATAAATAAAAAGTTCTTAGAAGTTTAATAGGAAAAATCTTCAGCCAACAAATTAACAATTAAATTGCTATTTACGAGACAAATTTCGATCATTTTCCCATCAAATATTTGAAAAAACATTATTTGAAAATTTTACTAGCGATTTTATAAAGAAAACTTCATATATTATTAATGGAAATGAGTTGCTAAGAGAAAAAGTTATCAGTTGCCTTATCAGTGAATTAATATCACTTAATTTTTAATGCTTTTTTAATGTTTTAGATGACGAATTCAAATCAATTTTATTTAATGAACGACTTTTCAAGCTACAAAATCAAAATTTATTAAATAATAATAGTTATTTTTGCAATGTTTTTTGGAGTGGGAAAATCAGACTGTAAATACCAATAAAAAATTTTTCTTAAATCTTCAAATTCTCTACGAGAAATGTTGAAAAAGGTGAAAGGGGAGGGAAGAAAGGGTATCGTCGACTACATCTTGATCGTATATCGATGAAGACGATAACGATGATGAGAAGTATTATTAGTTATTTCCTTTCGAAATTTATTCGGTACGTCATTTTGTGACGATTGCTCACATCATCTGCATTGCGGCAATTTTTCTTATTCATGCCTTCCATATTTTCATGTAATTATATCTTATGAAATATCTTATAATTGGAAAATTTATGGAGCAAAATTTAAATTCACGGGAATGAAATTCATCTTTAACAATTTGTGCTGCACAGTTTTGTTTTTCGCTGCTACAAAATCGAAAAATTTATTGGACAATAATTGTTGTTTTTGTAATGTTTTTTGCAGTGGAAAAACCAGACTATAAATGCCAATAAAAATTTTTAGTCGGCTTTTTTCGAAATTTTGAAATATTTTTTGGAAATTAATTTTTTACCGACTGATTTTTATTTTTTGTTAATGTGATAATGTAGTCAGATAATCGTATTGAGAGGCTTAGGCAAGGATTCAGCTCCGACAGGGTTAAACCTGTCATTAAAAGTCCAATGAGCGCTTGCGACCCATTTTTATTTCATCTCGATTCTCAGGCTAATTTCTGGCAAACAATAAACAAGGCGAACTTAACCATAAATGGTGATTGTAACTTAAATTCATACCTCCCATCGAATACATTTCCTCACCTTCTAATTCACCATTTCTCGTTTGGTTCCATTAATTGACTATTAAGAACCACTTGGGTAGGCAAATACTGGTAAGTCTTTAACAACATTGTACATATACTTTTAACGATATAATTGCATCAAGCAGTAAACCTGTCATGACTTGATTGATATATGTAAGTAGAAGGAATGGTACCATTTGGCTTTTGAACATGATATTTCTAATATTTTAAATTTTATTTTATTACTATATTAAATATAATGTTCAGATGAATTTTTTATATAAAAAAGAGCGTTTTTTCTAAGAGCGCTTGCCATTTTTTTTCTCTACTCTGGTTTGTCAGATCGGACAAATTCTTGCCAGGGATTACTTGGCGATAAAAAACAACAGAGAATTGTCAAGAGAGCCGAGCTTTTTGAAAAGAAACTCCCATCTGGAGGGAAATCCTAGCATCGGCAATCAACGACCCACTGAGGCATTTATATATAAATTGCCATTATTAAAGAAGATAAACAAGATGTATTGACGTATGAGGCCAGTGATCGAAAACATTGATTGAAATAATTTTATTTGATTTTATTCATATAGATTTTATTCATATTCGTCGCCTGTGCGTTATGAAATTTTTTTCCAAGATTTCTTAATGATTTGCAATATGTATTTCTATATATTTGCAGATAAATGATAATGATAAGAATTATTAACAAACAACTGATAATAATCTTTTCAAATATAGATTAAATCACTATTCGATTGAATGTATATATTAAAACATTTTTCAGCATTTCTGGTGGAAAAGTTGATTTATCAAAGGAATTTGATCAATTCTCTTCATTTTCTTTTTGCTTCTTACAGTTTTTTATTTTTTTAAGAAGTGAAAACTCAACCATTAAATACCTTTTAATGGAGTAATTTCTCGAAGAAATTGCATACTTAGAAAAATAAGAAGCAGAAAAAGAAAGAAAATTGTGCTTGCATATGCTCAGTTTCTGTTTAATCATAGAGGAGTTTCATCCAAGAAGAACTCTCAAGTGAACCCACAGCTTTATCTGGACTACCATAAAAATCCTCAGCCCCACCGAACTCCCAAAAAAATCCGAGAGACTTCTTATTTCGAGGCGAAAGAGTTGCATATGAGCTTCAAATCAGAGGAAATGAATTCCTAACGAGAAATATTTAGCTATATAGTTCTAAATGGGTCTTACACGGATTTCTTTCAGAAAATAATTGATGAGATTTTGAATTTACTTTTTCTTCAATTTTTTCTTTTAGTCGAGCGAAAGCTGCGGGTTCGTTGGGGGGTTTCAGTAAGAGTTGCGGATTTCCGAGAGCCCCGGGAAAATCCATTGATTCCACTGAGTATTTGGTGAACAAAGAATAGGTAGCAGAGTAGAATAGGTATGTTAGGAGAACATTCCGCTCACACAAATCGAAGTTAGAATATAAAAACATCGCTGTAAGAATAGTTTGGCGTAATATCATTCGTAGAGTCCTAATGAACTGCTGAAGTGCAGTTTAGAAGTCTCTGATTTAGTTAAATGACGAATGTGTGATTTTTACGATTAGGGAATTGTGCGGTCATTTGCTCTGTACATCACATTATTTTTTTAGCGTCGATCAATTAGTCGCTAACTGATTTTTTTTCGATTGTTGCGAACATTCGACATTTCTTCGTTGCCTGTGACTACCATTAGACCACCATTCAGGGCCTTCGATAGAGCTTTTATTTTTAGTTTTCTCTTATTACTTATATCTGTATTTTAAAAACAAAATCGCTTTAACTGATGCAATTCCATTAATTTTGAAATGTTTTAAGATCCACTGGTGAAAATTCGACGTTCTGATGTTTATCAAATATTTGATTTTACTATTTTGTTGAATCAAATAATTTAGGATGCCGACCCCTGCGCTGCTTACTTATAACAATCGCGAGCTTGGTGATTTTGAAAAATCGAATGAAGTTGACCAAAAAGCAGAAACATTCGAAACTGTAGAAGATTTCTTAGCCAAATATGCTGATCAGAAATTTGCAAGGCCTATCAACAAGGTTTTGTTGCACTTTTCTATTTATGGAATTATAAGAGAATAAATGGAAAAATGGTTCATTGATGACTGAGTGACAAGGTAATTGCCAAATTGCCAACGAGAATCGAAGCTTGGTTTCAAATCTGACCACTGACACACCACTCTTTGTTGTGCGGCACTCTCGCCTAACGGAAAAAAGAAACAAAGGGGAGAATAGAATTTTATTGGCTTGTTGCTTAAATTGAAATTCTACTCCCGATAGGAGTAGACGTGTTTAAAAGTCTGGGTGGTGCTTAATGATCCACCTCTACTTACATCGCCAATGCCAAAGCAATTCCTGGCATATTTGTATACTGTGGCTAGTCAACGAAGCAAGTCTAACCAGCATGGTAATCTTAAAATGGTACTCATGAGTGTCCTAAAAAAAAATGAAAAGATTCGTAAGCAGATAGGCCATACTATTTCCTGACATATAACTATCATATTATTTCCATCTCCCTCAGTGCTTCTTCGAATCCTGCTACATTTTTTTCGCATATACAAATCGTTTTTGCTCAGATTTATTCCCGTTATATTCCATAATATCGTAATTATCCTATTGATCTTTGTGATTTTATAATTTTTGGCTACAAATATGAAAACTTTTAGGTTCGGTGGAATATTAAGAGAATATAATGGTAGTGGGTGGTTGTTGAAAAGTTAGATGGCATGAGTTGTAGCAAGGGCTTACGACAGAACTATGAGGTGTTATGATGTTTAATGAGATTTAAAGAAATTTTTTGTGTGATAGTTAAGGGATACTAAAGAATTTCAAAACGGTTTGAGATTTTTTCGCATTTTTTCGCAATTTGAAGCCGTTTTTTATCTATTAGTCAATCCTTTTACAGTGTAGATTATGCTAGTGGTTTTAATTCTTCAGTGATTTTCCGTGAAAGATTTATTTAACCAACTAAACGAATAATTTTTTTTATTGCAGTATTCAATTTTTATAGTAATATTACTATAAAGACAATTTCTAAACAAATTTTTTGAGTTTTATATTTTTGATTATCTTTTGCAGTTATTAATTGCTAATAATGGAATGGCTGCATTTAAATGTGTTATGTCTATAAGGCGATGGGCGCAAGAGACATTTAAGGATGATCGACGAATAAAATTTATAAATTTAACGACAGAACAAGAAGTTGCTTCCAATCCAGGTAAACATGCATATATTTCTTTTTTTAAACCAGTGTCAACATAACATATTCTGCATTATATTCTGCATTTGCTTAATAAAAAATTAAAATGCACTAAGCCAGAAAAATTTTGTGAAATCAAACATTCAACCAATTTTTTAGTTGCTTTTTAAAGATGAAATTGTTTATTGCTTCTATTTTTCAGAATATCTTAAAATGATTGATAATTTTGTATTCTCTGAATCTGGTGGTAATGAAAGCAATTATGCAAATGTGGATGAAATCTTAAAGCATTCAGTAAGTGGTGAAGTTGATGCAGTATGGGCGGGATGGGGCCATGCATCCGAGAATCCTGATCTTCCTAATGGGTTGATGGAAAGGAATATCTTGTTTTTAGGTCCATCAGGACGCGCTATGTTTACTTTAGGTGACAAAATTGCTTCCACCATATTGGCTCAGGTATTTGTGAATTTTAAAATTGTTTTTCTGAAATTTTCGTTATGAACAAATTTTTGTTATTTGAGTATTAATATTTTGCAACATTATTAAAATTCTCAAATTAAAATAGTTATTTGGAATTTTATAATTTAATATTTAATAGTTATATTTATTTATCCTAAGAATAAAATTTTTTATAAATTATTTGTAATCTTCACATAGAAATTTTTGTTTTTTGTTGTTTTCATTATTAATTCCAGTTATTATTTCATTATTCATATGTATTATATTGCACTTCCAATTTTTCTAAATAGTCTGCTGGAGTACCTGTCCTTCCATGGTCAGGATCCAATATTTTTTTGCCGGAAGAGGATTGCCAAGATTATCGTACAGATATAGAAGTTAGTGAAGAAATACGTCAACGAGCTTGTGTAACGAATCACGAAGAAGCCATATGCGTTTTAAAGGTGCCATTAGACTTTACAAGATGAAGATTTCACGAAAATTTAAAAATTCAGATGGTTTTTCCACTCTTTTTGGTATTCACATGAAATTTTCGAGATATGAGGTTTCAGGAGAAAAAAATTCCTTATCCAGTGATGATAAAAGCTTCTGAAGGTGGAGGAGGTAAAGGTATTCGTCGAGTTACTTGTGAAGCCGATTTTGAAATAAGCTTTCGTCGAGTTCAGGCAAGATATTTTTATAGAAAAAACATTTGTTCAACACTTGATAATATTCTCTTGCATTATTTTTAGGCTGAAGTACCAGGTGGACATATTTTTTTAATGCATTGTCTGGAAGGAGCTAGGCATATTGAAGTGCAACTTCTTGGTGATATGTATGGGCAAGTAATAGCATTAAGAACTAGAGATTGTTCGGTGCAACGGCGTTGCCAGAAAATTATTGAAGAAGGTCCAGCTATAGCTGCTCCAACTTATGTTCAAAAATCCATGGAGGCTGTATGTTCTTATTTTCTATTCGTTCCCTTACGTAATTATGTTTGAATAATTTTGCTATCAGGATGCTGTTCGGCTGGCAAAGATGGTTGGATATTTTAGTGCAGGTACAGTGGAATATCTTTATCTCCCGAAAAATCAGCAGTATTTCTTTCTTGAATTAAATCCTCGTTTGCAAGTATGTTCTGTTTCTTTTAAATATTCAAGGAAATATTCAATTTCCTTTTTATTATGTATTTTTTATTGCCTGAATGCCCTCTTTTGGACTCATCGCATGCCTGCCAAATTTAACGTCCTTAAGACTCTATTTCCCATTATTTTCCTTCAATATTAGATTTAGATTTATTTTCTCCTTGTCTTATAGCAGTCGTAAACCATCGTCATCTAAAACTGCTAAATTAGTTCTTCATAAGCGAAAGTGGAAAAAAAATTTTTTTGATGAAAAGTTGATCAGAAAAATCAAGGAGCTAGAAGGAAAATAAATCTTGGTCAAGATCTAGAATGGTAAGGAGTTTTTATAATAGGAGCCAATTTATGATACTTGATGATATTAAGGAATTATAATGGGATCTGGAGGAGCGTTAAAGGAAATCAACTTCGTTAAGGGCGGTTTTATTCTAGGTGATGATTTTTTTTTAGGTTGAAAATCCTTGATGTCCAAGATAAGGTAATGAAAGATTATAATTGGATTTGAGAAGGTCTTAGAGAATGTAAAAGGATTTGGTATAGTAAAAGAGCGTAATTAAGAGGATGGGTTTTTTTGTAGCGGTTCAGAAGTCTATTTTTTACAAAGTAAACCAAAAAAGTTTTGGCGCACTGTAAATTTTTTCCGAATGTCAAGTGACTTTATTTTATTGCAAATAAGGCAATATAGATTATAGTACAATAGGGAAACAACCACTATGAGAACTGGCAGTATATTTAAGAATATGAAAAGTATGGGGATTGGGATAAATAGACAAAATGTTCTCAAGAATGAAAATCGATGTCAAAAAACATTTAAAATTGAAATTGAAATTGAAATTTGGCCTCATCTGAATCCCATTACATTGCTTTCATATTGGCTAGAATCCCCATTATATTTTCAATATTTTTTTCTTTCATTCTAAAAGCCCTTATCATTACTGATTAGGGCTGGCTTCGTTGGTTATAAAAGTAAGATAAGACGTTTTCAAATATGTGTCAGTTCCTGTGGTAAGTGAAGAACATACCCTAATCAGTGAAGTTTCTGTGATGCGATTAATTCAAATTAATACAAATGGTATTTGAATGGTAAAGATGGATTCAGTCTTATGAGATTTGATCCGCTCAGTGGATCCATAAAATATACCTTACACATAAGTATATAAGATGAAGAAGATAGATTCTTAATATCTTCCATTCTCATTGGCCATATTTCGCAGCCATGTAGCAAGATTAAGGGATTGCAGCTAAATAGATGCGGATTTTTCTTTTTTCGAGTTATTTCACGTTGCCCCCATAAAGGTTTCGTCAATCGCAAGAAAGCATTATCTACCGTTATCAGGTTTGTAATTTCGTTCTTCACTTGGCCGTTTGAAATTAGAAGGGATTTAAAATATCTGAAGTCTAGCATCTCCTCAACTAGTGATGAATTGATAAGAATTTTATATGAAACAGGTGTAGTAAAATAGATGTTTAGCTTTTGGTATATATGAAAAAGCTTTTGTTTGATTTATTGATCATGATCATGATCATGAATCTGATTTTCGCATTATCTGATCCATCGAATAGCTGAATATGGTAGGAGAAAGATCGCAGTTTTGACTGACACCAGTTCGATAGAGTCTGGCAATTTCCCCATATACATAGATATCTGCCGATGTACGCTAATAAAATGCCTTCATGAAATCTCTGGAAAACCTTCAAATTCCATCACCATCCAAAGCGCCGTTTTATCAATAGAATCAAAGCAAAATCGATATAAGTGACAGTGGGTTGCCCATATTTAAAGTGATGTTCCAATATCCTCCTTATTTTTATTTGAATATTTGGTCAAAATCGTGTTAAAACGTTTGAACCCAATTTAATTTGGTCCTACCGTATCTTACTGTTTCGTATTACCTAAGTCTATTTAGTAGAAGTGAAGCGATTTTCCGAATATTTAGTGAGCTGATTCCTCAATAATTATCACAGTATGTATCTTATCTTATGTCTTAAGTATCTTATTGCCGTTCTTGGGAATTATGAGCAAAATTGCTTTGCTACAATCATTTTCATCATTTCTTTATGTCTTTCTTCCATATTAGAGAGTACATTTGTTGAAGGTACGATAGGAAGGGCGATGGTCAACATTTAAGAGTTCGACTTGAAGTCCCATCTTCTCCGGAAGTTTTATTGGCATCTGAGTGAAAGAGATTATTTCCTGTTCTGCTGGTGGTTCTATATGCAAACGTATGGCTCGACGAGCGTTTCGGAATAATAGATGGCGCATCATGGTTAACTTTGGCCTTAGAGAAATTTTTCCCACCTTACAGTGCGATTCTTGATAGCCTTTACACGCATGCCTTTACTATCCTGCATAGTTTCACTGACCATTCCCTAATTGCTTATAATTGCCTTAAGGCGGAATTTTATTATCGCCTAATCGATCAGCCGTCTCTATTTTCAAGGATAGAATAGCTCAGTAGGTTGTTGCTCAGTTGAAAACGCCGGTTCTGAGGTTCAATTCCCTGTAGAAATAAACCTGTACAAAAATCCTGATGATACTGGCGACTCACCTGTATTTCTATCGCCAGGGGATTCCCTGACATATTGCCCAATTGCGAAAAGTCAGTGGAGCTAATAATGGTGTGGATTCTTAAAAAAAAAAAATTTTCAAGGCCATATCGCTCCTATAACGATTTCTGTTTACCGAGCTGCTATTGTGTTTCTTCAAAAAATTGGATAAGCGAGGTCTTCTATCATTCATTTTCTTTTTTAGGCTTCCGATATCCAAATAATGCTATAATAACATATTCAAGCATGGAAGTGGTTGACTTTCAAGCATACTTTTATTTAAGATCAACATTCATCGGCCTTTCCAATGATATCGTTGGCAGCAAATAAATGAGGCGCTCCAAAAATTTGGTTTGAATTTAAGATAGTAAAAAGATCTTGCGAGGCATTGTTTTTTGCGAGTTGTCGATTTTAAGCGAATTTTGGCTCGAACCGTAATTATTTACAAAATCTGGTCCGTTACCAGTTTACCAGTTTCAACGCCACGATAGCAGCGGTAGTTGTCTAGTACAAAACTCTTCCAATGTCGGATGACGGTTTTTTGCAGGCTAACTAGATGTCTTCTTTGATATATGATACAAGTATAAGTAACAAAAATTTCATGCTCTTCGGTGTTTTTCATTGGCGCCTCCATGCCATATTTGCCAATTAGGAGTTTACTATGATGGAGTCGCTATGACCATGTCATCTTTCTGTAAAGATGTTAATAGATGGAGGTCCGCATGTGGAACTTATCTTTTAAACAGGAGGTAATGGCCATAGTTTACCGATTTTTTTAATTTTTCTCTTTTCTGTTTAGTTATTCTCAGTAAATAAACAGGTTGAACATCCTCTTACTGAAATGCTGACGAATGTGAATCTTCCTGCTGCCCAATTACAAATTGCTATGGGTGTACCATTACACTGTATTAGTGAAGTTCGTTTATATTGCGGCTTTAGTCGCTATGGTACTGACAAAATTCCATTTGAGGTATTTTTTTCTGTCTCTTTTTTATGCATTTTTTGTTTTTAATCTTTCAGGTTCATATTCATTAAATTCAAATTCTTGTTCATAAATGTGCAGTAAGTATTTTTTAGTTTATTAATTTCATTCTTTTCCAGGGTCGTTTTAAAACTGATAAACATGTTGTATCAGTGCGTATTACTAGTGAAGATCCCGAGGAAAATTTCCAACCTACATCTGGAGAAATCAAAAATCTTAACTTTCGCTCATCTCAATTTGTTTGGGGGTACTTTTCTCACGTTGGGGCTGGCTCTCTTCATGAATTTGCGGATTCGCAATTCGGTCATCTTTTTGCTAGTGGATCTACTCGGTTAGGCATTTATCTCGTTCCAAAAAGCTTTGTAATAATTCAACGATATATTTTTTGGCAATCTTTTTTTTTAGGCACCTTGCTATTTCAAATATGTTAAATGCTCTAAATGAACTGCAGTTACAATCGCAATTTCCGGTTACTGTGCCTTATCTAAGATTGCTTTTCAAAGATCCAGATTATGAGGAAAATAATATTGATACTACCTGGCTGGATCGCCGAATTGCTGCAAAAAAGCATACAGTTCTTTTTTCTTATTTTTTTTGTAACAAAATTTAAATTCTATATAGCATATGAAAGATCTATGGCCACTTCTTTTAGGTTGAACAACCTCCTCTTCCGCTGGCCATCGCTTATGCTTCAATGCTTATCGCTCATTCTCGTATAACGGAAGCCTTTAGCAATTTCAGCAATTCTATCAGCCGTGGCCAAATATTGCAACCCTCAGATTTAACTGAAACCCATCAAATTGAATTAATAAATAACAATGTCAAGTACAGGTGCTTTTTAAAAATTTTAAAAATTTCATTTTTATTTTATTTAGCTTTCTTTCTAAGAAATGGTATTCAGTTAAAATAAATTTTGAAAATTATTTTCCACTATGATGTCCCCAGTTCAACACGATTCTAATTATTCGCAATTGAGAATGATTTTATTTACATATGGTTATTAATTTTGTTCAAGAGAAGTTTAATGCTGTAGTTTAATTCAAAAAAATATCAATTAAAAGCCATTGATAAGAGTTTTTTGACAATCTGATTTTATTCAGTGTTACTGTAACTCGCTCCGCCACGTTTGAATACATAGTTAAAATGAATGGCCGTTGTGCATTTGTTGAATACAGAGAATTGCGTAATGGAACTCTCTTGCTAAAATATAATGATCGTTCCTATCCTTGTCATATGATCGAAGAACCAGAGCACTACAAAATATATATCGGCCAAACTAAGGCATTTTGTTTTTATATAAGTTACTATATACGTGAATTGGGATAGAATATCTCAGTGGGTTGTTGCTCAACTGAGAACGATGCTGAGGTTCGTAGGAGTAAACCTGTCCAAAAATCCGGGTGATGCTGGTGGTGACTTACCTGTACTTCTATCGCCAAGGGACTCCTAGACATATTTTTCAATGTGACAAGCCAGTGGAGCCAGTTTAACCAGTAATGGTGAGGACTCTTAAAAAAAAGAAATTATCTATGAATGAGAATATTTAATATATAATAATCCTGGCTGTATTTAAAACTTCAGAATTTTATTGTTCTCATAAGAATTTTCAAAAATTTTATACTATTTTAATTATTTTTCCAGATTGTTTTTGAAAAAGAAAACGATCCAACGGTTCTTCGCTCATCATGCGCTGGTAAACTGCTAACGTATGAAGCAGAAGATGGTCAATTGTTGAAACCTGGGCAGTTATATGCTTCTATGGAGAGTATGAAAGTTGTGCTAGATATGCGAGTTAAAAAGGTTTTTTATAACATTTTCCTGCACCAAATATAATTTATTGAATTTACCTCGCTTTGATTTTTCGATTATGCTCATGCAATTTCTAGGTTGGTGGTCGCTTTAAACGAGTTGCACAAATTGGTCAAGTTTTGCATCCTGGAACTCTTGTCGCTCTACTTAATGATCAAGACAATATATCTTTTCTCAAACCAGTTGATTTCGAGGAATGTTTTCCTGAATGGATCATGGAAACAGTCAGATTCTTGCCGATCAATTTCCTCTTTTCAGACGTTATTCAAGTAATCATTTTAAATGATGAATGTGGATCTGAAAACAAATGAAAAAAAAAATATACTTTTCAGAGAATTTATAGTATTATATATGAATTTTACATCGTTGAAATTGTAGAGAGTGCGAAATGTATTTGATGGATATTGCAAATCTGTTCCAACTTTTGCTGACCATATTGATTCATTAGTTGAAACATTATTTTCTATTCTTAATGATTCTGATCTTCCACATGAGCAAATGCGCCAAGTAGTTGCTGTTTTAAAGCATCGCATTAGTGCAGATATGTATAAAGAACTTATCAACTTCATCGACCCAAATTATGACTTTCCTGCAAAAGCCATTAAAAAAAAGATCAATGTTAGTACTTAACGCTAATGTTAGCATGATTATGGAATTCTTTTATAAAAAAATTCGAAGAAATTATTGATTTATAACGCATCGAGAAAAAAAATCTGCAAAATTTTTTTGAATTACTGTTTTAGGCTATTTTCTTATAAAGTAGAAATGAAATAGTAACAAAACAGTAATGAAACTGAATTATTTGGTAAAAATGAATGAATATCGATCGTCCATAACTTTTTCATTGCAAACAATAATTAGAAATGGAAATAGCAACTGTGAATTATTATCATTACCTCTTTATTTTTAAACAATAAATTTTCATGTTTTCTTTTTTCTTTTTCAATTTTAGCTTTTCAGAATTATCTAGACTCGCTTTACCCACAAGATCTCAGTACTGAGCAGCTAAAATTTGCTCCCATTTTATTAATATGTGATAAATATGAAGACGGTGGAGAAGGCCACAGCGCACATGTGTTAAAAGAACTTTTAGGATATTATTATCAAGGCGAACAGTATTTTCAAAATTTTCAGTATGATAAATGCGTCTCGCAGTTGCTTTCAGAGGTAAAATAAAATAATTTTAATTCTCCATTTTATCTTCAATTATATTTCATATTTTCCATATTTTCTATGGTCATCTTCATTTTTAATCATTAAATCGTAAAGATGGGGTGGATATCTTTTCTTTATTGCTCTGAAAAACTGGAAATTATATGAATTACAAATTCTAATGAGTAATTATATTCTTATTCTGATTTTCCTATTTTATTAATCTTTTCTTGCCACAGGTAAAAGATACTGAACGTTGTGTGCGCATTATTTATTCTCATACTCGTGTGAAAGAAAAGAATCTATTAGTAATAAAATTGCTGAAGCGTGCAAGCAGAAGTCGTCGTTTAATAATGTCATTATCATCTATTCTTGAAAAATTCGCAGATTTCACCAAAAATGAATATTCTGAATTAGCCCATCTGGCAAGAAAATTGCTAATTGAGGCCGAGACACCAACTTACACTGAAATTAAAATTAGAGTAATCATTCCTCACTTTATTTTTTCATTTCGTCCGAATAAATTTTATGTTGAAATGTCCAAAAGTAATTTGATTTTTTCGAATTGCTTTTTGTTATTATTTCGTTATTTATAGGGTTCTTCCCCTGGTCCAGCAAATTTGGAGAAGTACGATATACTTTTTGAAACATTTGATAGTAGTTATCAATCGGTGCTAAAATATTTGACAGATTGTTGCGGTGTCCCAGAGTCTTCAATTCAAAGACTGAACGACGGAGGTCATTTGAACGACGTACGATTTTCTCTACGTGTACAAAAGATAGCGTAAGAATTGATTTACAATTTCGTTTTATTTTCTATATTCTATGAGCTCATTGGAGCAATTATTGATTTATCTTAATTTTTAACTTACTATTACTCTATGTTTACATTTTATGTATTGTATTTTCTTTTTTCACTATATTTATATTATATTAACTAGTGACCGTGGATCGTGACATTTGAAATGATGGTAATTGATTGAAATGATGTGAAATTTCCAATACTCTAGCGTGAATATCTGGTCAGCACAGCTATGTCCTACTCTAAATCCAGCTTGATTAAGGCACATCCTGCTGTCTCTTACTGCCATAAAGTAGAAGGGAGGCGAAATTTTTCCAGGATGTTTATTAGGCTGATTCTTCGATATTTGTCACAGTATTTTTTATCACCTTAAGAATTGAGGGTAAAATTTCTTTGTTACAGTCTTCTGGTATTATTTCTTTCTTGCACGCGGGAAAATCCATTTTTTGAAAATGATATGAAGGACGATGGATAGCATTTAAAGAATTTGGCTTGAAGACCACCTTTTCCAGGAATTTTATTCTCTTGAGCTCCTGGATGATAAGGATTATTTTCTTTTCTGCTGGAGGTTCATAGTTATAAACATATGGCTATGACGAGCAGTTTAGCTATATCCAAATGGCGGTTTATGATTAGCTTCAAAAAATTCATTCCATCTTATGATATAATCCTTAATAGTTTTAAATACCATTAATATCCCGCGTCATTTTATTGGCATTTACTGATTGAGTTTTCGAGTTATTGCTACTTTATGAAGAAGGAGGAATAATTTTCTATTATCGCCTAATCGAGCCTAATCCATTCTCGATTCTCAAGGCCACATTGCTCCAATAACGATTTTTGTCTTGCCGTGATGCTGACATTATAAATCTTCAAAGTATCCGATAATTTTGGTTTTCTGACATTCGTGGCAACCTTTGCAGATTGTTTGCTTCCGATGCCCAACTAAAGCATTTCCTAATATAGAAGTGGCTGACTTTCGGAGACATATCTTTGGTTGCCACCAACATTTATCCTTTCTTCCAGAAATTTTACTGAAATTCATTTCACTGATATGCTTCATTAATTCAGTTTTTGCACTCACTATCTCCGAATCTTTTAATTTGAGATAGTTAAAAGATCTTGGGGAATGGTCAGATTCATGAAGGTTACCCGCTTCAGCTCCGCAGTAAAAAGGACTAGTGCGGAATTCTTCCAAAACTAAAAATAATCAATCTGGTTAGAATATTAGCTATTCACGTGACGAGATATCTTCTCCGATAACATGTAGTGAAACATGTAGTATTTTTGTTAAAAAGTTCATGCTGTTCGGCAAAACAAAACAAAGAAGGCGTTTTTCATTGACGCATTGGATTCCGATGGCATATTTGCCAATTATTAAATTCATTGTGGCTGCATCGCGCATTCCAGATTGCCCCGATTATGACCATGTCATATGTAGAAGTTTTGCTAATAGTTAGAGTTCTACACAGAACTTATTCTCATAGAACTTGTTCATCGATTTCATAGCTATCTTCGATTTACTTGATAGAGTTGCACCTTGGAGGCTAATTTAATATGTTAGGGTTTCAAAGAAAATCATTCGACTCATAAAGGGATCTCATCATCACAGATCTATGTAAATGGGGAATTAAAACTGGTGTCAATCAAATCTGCATTTTTTTCCCTAAAATATACAACTACGCTGTAAATATACATAATGCAATTAATGCTAAACAATATCTCGACAACTGCGATGAGAATCGGAGAATGAGAATCGACAACTGCGATGAGGATCAATGAAAACAAAAGCCTTTTCGTCTTTATACGATAAAATATATACTTATATAAATTATGTAATAAAAAATATATATATATATACTTATAAAATACAACATATATATACTTAATGAAATGAAGCATATACTTTAATATAAAATATATACTTTAATAAAATATAAATATACTTATATCAATTCATCTCTGGTTGCGGAGGTGCCAGACTTTAAATATCTTAGATCCTCTCTAATCCCAACGACCAAGCGGAGGATGAATTCACAACCCAGATTATGGTAATTAGAACTAATTTCTCCCTGTTGGCGAAACTTTTGGGAGATCATCTTGAAATCACTGTAAAAATCCGTATCAGTATAGCTGCGATTTGCAAACTTTGCTATATGCTTGCTAGGCAGATGATAGTGGGGAATATTAAGAAGTGGGAAATATTATTTATCTTCGTTTGATCATTCATGTTTAAGGTACATTTTACTGGTTCACCGAGCGGATAAAATCTCATATAACTGAATCCACCTTCCTTCGAATATCATTTTCATTAGCAGTACCATCACAAAGTGTCGCTTTCGCTGGTTAGGGTGCGTCCTTTGTCACTTATGATCCATGGCTATAGGTGTCGTGAAGGTGTCGTTATCTTGAGTCGAAAGGGAAAAATTTTATTTATCGTTGAATTATAGTAACAATATATTACAATAGTAATAATTGGGTCGAAGAGGATTAAGGAAGAAAGAGAATGTCGCGTTGGATTCTGGTTTGAGAAAAATTATTAGTCGAAATTTCCGTTCGTTGTTTTTTTTAAGCATCTTTCGAACCGATTCTGTGAGCTTATTTTTTTTCCATATGATTATAGTATTATGCAAATCACGTAAAAAATTGTATAGATATTTTTTCTCAATGGTACAACTATTTCACAGTTTTATCTAAAATTCGTAAATTCGTAAAATAGTTTTTTTTTTTATAAATTAACTAATAGATGTGAATTTTGATTTGAATATTAAGTAGTTCATTATTGTGAAGAGTCCTTTGTTTATGCAAGTATTTTTTTTAATGATAAATTAATTCTTTCGCATCTTTCCGAGATTCCTGACCGAAAGAGAAAAATATTAGGTAGTGGAATATTGCAAAGGAGTTTGGTTAATAGTGGTTACTTCTAATAAATTCATTTAGTAAAGTTTCTATTGGAATTGTTAAAAATTTTGTTTTAGTTGGAATCTTATTAAGAATGTATACATATATATTTTATATTACATGGAAAGTTGGACAGTTCCTGATCCAGACCCACACCTACTAGAAATGACTGTGGTCGATGAGCCCCTAGCATTACAAATGAATCATCCGCTTGTGGCAGGCTCTTACCCAGACTGGTTAACACAAGGAAGGATGGTGCTAATTATGAAAGGCCTTATAAGAGAGCAACGCCGTCCGACTATCGGCCAGTAATCTGCCTCTCCACAACTTGGAAAATCCTATCAAGCATCATATCCATTGTTACATGACCATATGAACCAGTTCAGTTCAAAAAGGCATTGGGAACAACATCAGAGGCTCCAAACACCAGTTGCTCATAGATAAGGTATTTTCACTCAATCTCGACAGATTTATTTGAGCATAGTCTGCATTGACTGTAAAAAAAACCTATGATTCAGTGCATGATTTGTAATTTTTTTTTTTAACAGACCTCACCATTACTGGTTAAACTCGCTCCACTGGCTTGTTGCATTGTGCATGGAGTTCCTTGGCGATAGAAATACAGACGAGTCGCCAGCATAACCTGGATTTTTGTGCAGGTTTGTTCCTGCGGGGAATCGAATTTCAGCATCTGCGCCCCCAATTGAGCAACAACCCACTGAGCCATTTGCTTCTATAAAAGGATCCTACATATTTTCATCGATAATTTGATGCGGAACTACCATTAGCTGTATTCTCTACTTCGATAACACCGAATGATTATAATAGGACTGTACACCAACCGGAAAGAAGGTAGGTGGGGTTTGGTGAGTATGAAAGTTACTATCTTAAGCGAGAACCGAAGCATTCAGAGAGCATATACCAGGAAGATGGCACCATCAGATAAACTGCTGAGGGAATGTCTGAAAGATTTACAGAAAAATGACCAAGCAGAGGAAGTATCAGGGCAAAGCAAGGTTTTCCATAGGATGCAACATCTGCAGAAATTCTGGCATTGAGAAATTCTATGGGCGGTTGGAAAAAGCTGGACTAAAAGGAAGCACTGAGGCATCGATCATAGTAGCACAAGAACAAACACTCCAGATCCATTGAAGCAGAGATCTACCACATAGACGAGATTTTAGGTGCAGATTATGCAAAAACGCCCCAGAAAGAGTCGAACATATAATGACAAGATGTAAAATGCTAGCAGGACCAATATATACCTAAATAATTATTAGAAACAATAGAAACATCAAGAGGTGGAAGAGGAACTAGGGAAGATGTGAAAAGTGAAGAATTAGTCCCAGTAATACCCTAAATTAAAAAATTGGCTACAGCAGATTTCAGGAACAGTACTAGAGATCTAGAAGAACACTCTTCTAGGAACAGCTATAATACTGCACTTCAATATCTTAGGCATCTGATAGAGGGCCATAGGTTGGGAATAATCTTTTCCACCTACAAGAGTTGATAAAGTGACTTTCTTTTTAATATTATCTATTTTTATATATTTTTTCCTATATTTTTATTTTACTATATTTTATTTTACTATATTAACTATATTTGGAAACCAGAGTTTAGTCATGGTCTTGGTTTGCCAAACGATGAAATTGAAGAAACAAATGTTATTCTTCGGAATATCGGCGATGTGAAAGATATTTCCACTCGATTACCGAATGCTATTGCGATGGTAAATGTATATGGCACTACACTGTTTATCGCGTCTTATGCTGATGTATCAGATCAGGAATTAGAAGACAAGCTTTCTGAAAAAATTAAAGTATCAGGCTTTTCTTCATTCTTATTTTATCCATTGTTGTCCACTTCTGGATTCTTGGCAATTTTAGGATGCTATAATGGGTCTTGAAAATGATTGCGTTAGTCACATTGTGGTACTTGTCGCATCATCCAATTCATATCCACTATTTTTTTATTATAATATGGAGACTCGTGAAGAAGTGGTTTCACAGAGAAATATTGATCTAGCTCATTTACCAAAGCTCGGTCTTCACCGTTTAAAAGAAAATTATGATGTGAGTTGAGAATTATTATGTTTTTAAAAAAATTCAAAAATTCAAAATTCAAAAAAATTACCATTTTTAAATTTGAAATTTTCTTTGTTCTTTCTTTATCTGAATTTAACATTCATCTATATATATTTAATTAATCAATTCGATTGAACAGATTTTTAATTTGAAACTTTTTTATAGTTGGAAAAAATAAAATCGCCACACAATTGTTGCCATCTATATAAAGCAACGGGAAAACATGATAAAACTGAAAAACGCTTTTTTTATCGAACAGTCGTACGAATACTCGACAGTTTTGCGGCGGAGTTCGTTCTAATATTTTTCTTACTTTTTTTTATAGGGGAAAAGAAAATTCAAATAATACTGGTATATGAAATATTTCAGTGAGGTAACAGCATGTTTGAAAAAAGTTCTGAAGCGGGCATGTAGTGAAATTGCAATTGCTTTGTATAAATCGAGTGGTGTGGATCGGAGTCATGTGTTTTTGTTCATAGATCGAACTTCCACGAACAAAAAAATTAAAATGAGTCCTGCAGATTGGCGAAATGTTGTTTATATGGCATATCGTGATTGCAAGGTCAGCCCCAGTTTTTTTGCACTTTTTAGATTTTTGTCCATTGTTTTAGTTTATTTCAATATAATTTTTATTTTATTGTTTTTTTATATTTATTGAAGGAAGCCTTGTGGTCTTCACGTGTTAACCAGGTTGAGATAGATTTCATTCTGTTTGGCAAAAGAAGAAGTTTTGAACAAGCAACGAAAATATTGATCACTGATAATACAGGCTTCACTCCATTTATCAAATTTCTAAGGGCAGAAGTGAGCAATAGAAGTTCAACTAGTAATGTAAGTAAATAATTTAACCCAGTAATCATAAAATTTGGAAAGAATGATTGCAATATTTTTTACTTCTAGTCTTCTCTGATCTTGTAATGCTTGGATTAGCTTTCCCAGATTAATATTTAATTTTTCAGTGGGTCCATGTTGATGCTGGTATGGACGGTTTTGAATATGGACAGGAAATCATGGTTGAAGGTTGTTGTAATCCAAACTGGAATCCATTTGTTGATCATTATCCAGTACGCTCTGAGATTGATAAGCGCCGATTGAAGGCACACCTTTCTAAAACTACATATGTTTATGATTATCCATTACTTTTTCAACGCGCTCTTGTTGTTGCATGGACATCCGTTCCGTGAGTTTATTCTTTGAGATTACAATTTTTAAATATAATTTTATAAGCTATAATCCTATAATTAATCCTAATTTTTTTTGAAGAAATTTTCATATTTTCATAAAATGAATTTTCAAATTCAAAAAGAAAATTTTTTATTCTTTGTTATATGCTTATTTTTAGCGAAGTAAAGAAGCCTAAACCATTTATTCCTCAAAAACTTTGTTCATTTCGCGAATTGATCTTCGATGAATCTTCTCATGAGTTAATTATGAAAGATACTCCTGGTACACTCAGTACAATAGGAATGGTAGCTTGGCGAGTTCTTCTTATTGTACCGGAATACCCTGAAGGGCGAGAAGTCATTGTTATTGCTAATGATATATCTCATCATATTGGATCATTTTCTATGCAAGAACACAATCTTTATTATGCTGCATCAAAACTCAGTCGCATGGAAGGACTTCCACGTTTATACATTGCTGCTAATTCTGGTGCAAGAATTGGACTATCCGCAGATGTTAGAATTCTATACATGTAAAAAAAGGAAATGCTTATTATGCTCGATCTTTATATCATTTTTAATATTTGAAATATTTTTTATATTAAATTTATTTTTAATTTATATATATTTTTTATATTAAATTATTAATTTTATATTTGTGAAATATTCGAAAAGTTTTTTTTCAATATTTGATATGAAGCAAAAAATTAGTTATATTCGTTAGTCAAAAATGTGAGATTATAGGCTTTTGTCGTTTTTTCAGTTAAAGAAAATTTTCAAAGTATCTTGGAAAGATAAAAACAATCCACTTGATGGTTTTGATGGACTTTATCTGGATGATAGTGATCTTATTGGTCTCGAAGATATTGTGAAAACAACTCGTTATGGTAATCATAACCATATAGTTGGTATCATTGGAAAAGAAGTCAACTATTTATTTTTATTATTTTAAAGAAATTTTTCTAAATATATTTTTATTATTTTAAAGAAATTTTTCTAAATATATTATAGATTTTAATAAGTTGTTTGTATAGATTTGTAATAATTGCTTTATTTAATGAAATCGAAAAGAATTAATTATTCGCAGTACAAAATATTTTCTTTTTGTGTTGATGAATGGGTTATAAAATTATAATACATATTATGGTTCTTATTTTAACTTGTTTTTACTAATCATAAAAGATGTAATTTTCTAAGTATCAATTATTTTCATTTAGCGTGATTTGGGTTTCGAGAATTTGGTTGGATCTGGTTTAATTGCTGGTGAAACTTCAAGAGCATATAATGATGTTGTAACTTATACGCTAGTTACTGGTCGAACGGTTGGAATCGGCGCTTATGTAGCAAGATTATCAAGGAGAATCTGTCAAGTGGAAAATGCTGATATTATTCTAACAGGCGCTCCAGCATTGAATTCACTTCTTGGAAGAGAAGTATATACATCTAACGGTCAGTTAGGTGGCACTCAGATAATGACTCGCAATGGAATTACTCATTCTTCTGTCAGTAACGATTTCGAAGGCGTTTGTCAACTGATCCGTTGGTTATCACATACAAGAAAACACAATAAAGTAAGATAATTCTTTTTCGAATTTTTATACATTTTCTTTGATTTGAATTTTTTTTATTATTTTCTTGATTTATATGCCATTAAAATATATTCAGTTAGAATAATAACTCGTCTTAGCATTTAATTTATTTTATATTTTGGTTCTCTTATTGTTCTTGCTTAATAAAAAAAGAATTTATTAAGAATTTATTATTTATAAATTTAAAATTATATTTGGAATCAAAAAATTGATTAATTCGATAATGATTTCTCTGATAATTTTTTTCCGAATAGGTATTAGACAAGACAGTGTTAAATAACTATGTAAATTGCAATATCTATTTTTTGTATATTTTTTATTTATGTTTAATATTTTCTTGTGTTAAATAACAATTTATCATTTTTACTTACCATTTTTTTTCCGTTCTTATTCGCTTTCATAATTTTTAACTCAGGCCGGCTTGAATCAACAACCTTTTATTGACCCAGCAGATCGACTTGTAGATTTCGTACCATCGCCTAATAAAGAAGTTGATCCACGATTCATGCTTACTGGTCATTATGATGAGACGACTTTAGAATATCTCACTGGTTTCTTTGATAAGGACTCCTTTGAAGAAGTTCAATTTTCGTTTTATATTTTTTGTATATATATTGTGTACAAGAAAAATGGTTATGTATTTTGTCGGGCGAAAATTTCGTCATCAAATTTTTTATTTTATTTCTTTTTTTATTCATTAATCTATTAAATTTTTTTTTCTCACTTGCATTTTAATTCTATATTTTGCACTGTATTCTTTTCTAGATTAAGCCTGATTGGGGCAAGACAGTTATTGTTGGACGCGCTCGTCTTACTGGCATTAGTGTTGGGGTAATTGCCGTGGAAACTAGAAGTGTGGTTGTCGAAATTCCTGCAGATCCTGCATCTCCAGATTCTCAGGTGAAAACATTTCAACAAGCAGGACAAGTTTGGTACCCCGATTCTGCCTATAAGGTTTTTATAATTTTTTTATAATTTATTTTCTAAATTGTTCAACCTTAGTGTATCTTCGACTTTTCCAGTTTTATTTTCAGACTGCTGAAGCTATTCTTGATTTTAACAAAGAATCTCTTCCACTTGTTATTTTTGCCAATTGGAGAGGATTCAGTGGTGGTCAAAAAGGTTTTTTAATTTTTATTTTACATTGGATGGACTTAAAAATATTAGGTTTTTAAGCTCTCTTGCAATTTCAGATATGTTTGATATGGTTCTTAAATTTGGATCATATATTGTTGATGAATTATGCTCATATTTGCAACCTGTAATTGTTTATATTCCTCCATATGGTGAACTGCGCGGTGGAGCTTGGGCCGTAGTCGATAAGATGATAAATCCGAGATGCATGCATATTTATGCTGATTCGCGTTCACGAGGAGGTGTTCTCGAACCAGAGGGAACAGTGCAAGTTAAAATGAGGAAAGTGAGTAATTTTATAAAAACCCTGAGAACTTTATTTTCAAGAGTGTTACAGTTTTTGGGCCAATTTCCAACCCTTTCAAGAATTTTTTGATATTTTTGAGTATTCTTTTGTCAAAACAATAAACAATAGTAATAAATAATTTCTGACAATTTCTGTCAGTTATTTTGAAATTTAATAGTACCATAGCTGGTTTGGCTGTCTCTATTAATGACTAAGATGAGATGTTTCTAAGCTTTCCCAACAGTAATTGAAACCGCGTTTTAATGGTATCCGATCGAAGATGGACGTAATCATGTTTACTTCTTTATGAATTCATCAACAAGAAATGTCAGATTTTAAATATTTCAGATCCACTTTAATGACCAAATAAAATTCCATCTCGGATAACTTCCTGACTTCCTCGGATCTTTCTCTCTCTTTGATCTAGTTTCGCAGTCATTTAATTGGATAGTAATACCGTCCACCAGATAGGTACGAATGTTTTGAGGCTAATTTTGCAATGATTCTAAGAGGTCTTTACCAGACGAAAGAAGGCATTTCTATCTATACTCATCAGAGCTGATTTTATCTAATTTTATCTTCCATTTGGCCATTAGTTTTGAGGATCTGAAATATTTAAAATATTTAATATTTGTTGATGAATTTTTTATAGATTGCGATCTTCTCAATGTTTTTTATATAGAAGAGTTTTGTTTCATTTTATTTTAATTGATTTGAAGGCCGAGGCAGTCTTTCGCCTCTCTTATCATTAGCATATTCAAAATCATGTTCTGGACTGATTTGCTCACCTCTCGCGAGCTGTGTGCATAAGCCTATCGTATTGTATAGTTGAAAATTGTAAGAGAGAACGTGATAACGACGCACACCGATATATATTTCAAAAGTGCCAATATCTTTGCACCAGCGCTGACATGCCTTTGAAATTCTTTGATAAGTCTGATTAGTTTTTCTGGAACACCATCATGTTATATGGCTTGCTGGAGCACTTTCTTAATCGAATCAAATGCAACAACGAAGTCGGTGATCGGTGAAACAAGTTACGTTGGTAGGATACCAATATTTGAAAGATATTTTAAAAAAATAGAAAGAACCAGTTTGAAATTTGAAATTAGCCTAAATCCGGTTTGATTTGCGCACATATTGCATGACACGCACTGCTATGAATCTATTCAGTGGAAGGGAGGCGGAATTCTTCCTGAAATGTCTAAATTGGTTCCTCGGTAATTGTCCCAGTGCTTTGTCCTGTCTACCAATGAATATAATCTCTGTGGGTGTAAAGGACGCTGGACAGCATTTAAAAAATTCTGACCATCTCAGTGGTTTCATTGGACTTAAGCTTTCCATTCACTCTTTCCATTGGGTGAGGCGATCTTTGGTATTTTAATGGGATTTCCATTTTTACTTCATTGATTATTTTTTATTTAGTGATTGCCTACTCGAGCTGTTGTTTCCACATTCAAAGCCATATCGTTCCAGTATCTACTTTTTATTTTCCACTTCAACCACTGCTAGTGCCGACAGCTAGCATCTCCTGACTTTTTCCACTCAGCTATGACAGGACCGTGCTCAGCTAGCAGGCTTATATTTGCCTGATTTCCTCAACCGGACCAAAACTGAGCTTATCTGAGCTCGACAGCTGTCTTTAATATTGCTGTTGCAACTTCCAGTTCGCACATTTATATTTATGACATGTATCACTTGGTTAGCGATACCATACATGAACTTTGATATTTGCTTGGTTTTTTTGCCTTAGAATTATTTAGAAATAGAAGTATAGATGGGACCACGGCAACCATTTGGATTTCAACCTCATAACAAGTTTATTCCTGCTTAGATAAATAAAGAAATAATTTCGTAATTAGTGTAATTATGGAAGATTAGAAAAATTAGGAATTGAAAAAAACTTTAAAAAAATAAAATTCAAAGTTAAAACAGGGACACGAGGACAATGTGATGACTACTTAATAGTTTTAGTTCTAACTACTAACTCAATTACTCATGTTCACTACACTAAAATATGGAAGAGCTTTAATAAAGCTAGCTTAACCAGAAGTGTTGGGCTACTTGTTTTGTTACTGAAGACTTTTTTAGGACCTTGTACCATTTATTCATCGATTGGATAAAGTGATGGCAGACTTGGTTTGTCGTCACAAAGCTGGTTATGATGTTGAAAAAGAAATTAACGCCCGTGTTGAACTGTTATTACCAACATATCGCAATATTGCTATAGCATTTGCTGACTTACATGATACACCCATTAGGATGAAAGCTGTCGGTGCAATACAGGTCATTCTTAATCTATTTTTGGTTTACCCATAATATGATTATAATTATTTGGATTGATAATGAATGCTTTTAATGTTTGGTTTTTTTGAGTCATTTATGATTGCATGATTTGAAAAAGTTGCAGAATTTTCTTACAGTTCGAATCCAAATTACATTCGAATTAAATGAAATTGCATTTACAGGGAATAGTGGATTGGGAGGAATCTCGAATATTTTTCTCTCGTAGACTGCTTCGCTTATGTGTTGAAAGAGATCTGTATGATGAAGTATAAATTTAAAAATTTTTTGTTTAAATATTTAACATAATATATTAAAATAAAAAGTCTTTAAAATTTTGCTAAAAAGTAACCTAGAAATATTTTGTTTTCATTTGATTGATTTATTATTTCTTAGCCTGTTTGCGTTTTTTTTGCTTTTTAGGGTTGCACCATCACAAGTGTGGCTGATATTGAGCATGCATATTTATTGTTGTGTCGTTATTTCAAAGAAACGCGTAAATCTGATTTCATCTGGGATGATATCCCTGATATAAAAGCAATAGAGATTCTGAAAAAAGAAAGAAGCAAAATTGTCTCGTTTATGCTAAACGATCAGTTGTATAAGTTGGGTTTGCGCTTCGGAGTGTTAGTTTTCTCTTCTTTTAAATTTGCAAGCATATTTTAGTTCATGCGGAAGATTGATTTATAAATTTTTTATTTTCAATTTATAATAAAATCTATTGATCAAGTTTTTGAAGGAATTGTATAGTTTTGATAGAAAAAAATTTTCAGACCTTCAAACAGACTTGACGAATTTTCTACGAAACTTGATGATCTCTTGAGCGAAATAAAGAAGAGCTCACCAGATCTATAAATTCCATAGAATTTTAGCTTTTTTCCAGTTAAAATATAACATTTATATCTTCTCAGTATTATATTATATTTATACTGCAGATTTCTTTGTTATGATGATAATTCTTCCAATTTTTTATTTGTTTTAATGTATTTTTGTCCTTTTAAATTTTTATGAATTTTCACACATTTGCAATTGTTTTGAGGAAATAGGTATTGATTGATGTATTGTCAAATATAAAATATAATATTGAAAAGTTTACCTGTTTTATCTATTACTTATTTTAAAAATATGAAAAATGAAAAATATGATTTATTTATTATGTGATGTGGATTTTTTAATTTAATTATTTATTGTTTATTTATTTATAATACTTAAATATAATGTATTTTGCATTGCTGCCATTTTTGATCATTTAACATTGTTATGTTCCACCATCTATTAGTTGTTTGAAATGTTACGGTTTTGTGATATTTTCTCTGTGGTTGATAAAGCAAAATAAGATTTGTTCTTTTCATCAACTCCATTTTTCATTCGTTTTCTTAAGCAAACAATTTTTTCTACATTGTTAAAATTGGCCATTCATTTAATTGAATATTCTCTCTATCCATTTCTGTCCTTTTTTCATGCCTTAACTTTAAAATTTTTTACCAATTTCATCATTGCAGCATTTTCTGTAATTTACAAATTTTTATTTTACCATGCCATCTAAAAATAATGTATGTAAAAACTGGCTGTCATTCATCTAAAGATATTAAGTATCAAAGACTCTTATTTACATATTTCAGCTCGATCTATTACCTTCAATTTTTTAAGTGAATTTTTGTTTTTGTTGTTTGACAGTGGTTTTTTGAAATTCGTTAAATATTTGATGGATTTATAATGTTGGTGAGGCAAACGGGATTATTAAAATCTTCCTAAGAAATTCGGTGATATCTTTCATCATGGATGATGGTTTTTTTAAACTCTTGACTTTATGCTTACTTTAAGATTGGTTTATTCTGGCCTGTCCACTAGTTTAAAGGATTTTTTACTGTATTGGAGAATTTAACCATTTATTCTTTCTTTTAAAAACTGGACAAGACAAGCTGTTAATGTCGTAGAATGAAAAATTTTAGAATGATGGCATCGTTGATATAAATCGATGTGCCTGAGAGTGTTAATTTGCCGTACGACATGTCGAGCAATAATTTTAAAAAGTATCGATATCCAAAGAAATTTTAGGTCAGTTCCAATTCAATTGCTCAAATAATGGAAGCTTTTCTTCTAAAATCGTTCTTTTTCCGAAATCTTTTAAAGATTTTGAGGTTTCGATATTTAATTTTATTGGAAGTTGGATTTTTTAAAGATGTTAAACGTGTCTGTTCAATAATTTGGTGGATGTCGAAATGTCTGCCTATTATTTCTTTTAAGCCAAAATTAAAACCAACACAATTCATGTTGATATCTTGAAAACAACGTCTCATTTGTGTCTTAAGTTCCTTAAATTGCGTCATTTATCCCATTAAATATCCTATTCGACACTTATCATTGATGTCGTTAGGGTCCTTGGAGTCCTTTCTTTTCCCAATATTCCACTTTATCCTTAACGTTAATTACGGTCAACCTTGGATGATGTAGTATGAGGGATGATATGGAAGATGGTAGAAGATTATAACAGCTGTCGAGGAATCAGCCTATCGGACATCTCTGGGATCACTTTTGCTTTTTTCTGCTGAATAGATTCAGTTTTTTCGTAATAGCAAGTCGCACTATTCTGGTTGCCAAGCGACAAAAGGTATTAAGAAGCTCTTCATCTTTGGTCCGTCATGCCACATTTCGTATGCTATCCGATGCAATATATTTTATTCGAAGAAAGCTCCTTCCAATTATTAAATTCGCGATGCAAATTCCAATAAAAAATCGTCTAGGAATGATAAACTTACGCTAATATTTCAAAAAAAAGGATTTTTATTCGTTGATATCAGAGAGGCGCAGTTCATGCTATTCCATCAATTGGCAATATGAACAGAGCGATCAGGGATCGCATACCATTAGCAGTTTAATTGACTCCATTAACCACTGGAAGCTGCTTCGCCCGATAATTTGGGAACAGAACTGCAGGTGGATTTACTTGAATTCCACTTTTAATGATAGTTAACATCAAGTGAATTTTATGAAATTCGTATTGTATGAATATTGTATCAAATTTCTTGGGAAAAATATAAAGCGAAGTAATTTGTGGAAGATGATGTAGGTAGCATGAAATTTACCATTTGTATTATTTAAATAATAATACCTTGAGAAATTCCGTAGCATTTTAAAATGGTGCGTTATTTTTGTGGTTTGAGGAAGGCATTGCAATCATAATCTTTTTACTTTAACAATCCATTGAGAGATTCTTATCTATTCTTAAAGCCCATATTTTCCAATGTTTTTTTCAAATATGAAACAAAGCGATGAAGTATAGAAAGTATAGAAAGTAACGAAAATAACGTATTAAGAAAATATCCGTAATTTCTATTAGCAAGGTCACTGGTATAACTGTTGTTTTCTAGTTACAATGTTGACAAAATTTAGAGATTTTTGATAGATATAAGATTTTCCAAATCAGGTTGAATTCCTAACATTCATAAGATGTAGCATAAAATGCCTTGGAGGTTCGCAGAGTGTGAATGTTTCTCCAATTCAACAGACTGTGCATTACGACAAGATTTTATCAAAGCCTATAGATATATCCAAATTTGGTGCGAACGACATCACCTCGAGAAAGTTTCGTTACATCTTTGCACGGCACCAATTTTTTATAGAAAGCAATCCATAAAACTAATGAAGCTCCAGCAACTACGATATTAAATAACCAAACAATTCTCGGCCCATACAAAGTGAAGATGCTCCTGAATTCTAATTTTAATTTTAAGGGTTATACATTCCTTGGGTTAAATATATTTTATTTTCATTTAAAGTAACTAAATTTTTTGCTAAAAAATTTTTATCTAATTCTGTTTCAGAAAAAGTCTTACAGATATGCAAGACTAAAACAAATGGGACCATCATGTGGCTCCATATACATTATGCATATATATAACGCTTAAAATCATTGAATGCCATCTTTATGCCAGTGAAATTATCTATTATTTATTTTAGCGATTTTTTATTCTTTTAATAGTTTAACATGGAAGCCGACTTACGGAAGGATTACTGGACCGGTAAATCGAGCCCACGACCCAAATAATGCCATTAATCCTTGTTTTACGCTCTGTAACCAAAAGTTTATTAACAATTGGCAAATTTCAATATGTGAGGAAAAATAATCAATTTGCGATGAAAAAACAAAATTTTCTAATAGAAAAATTGAACCGAGAGAACTTGGACTGCTTTTCCATAGAAATGATGTAATGAAAGTAAATGAAATAAAATTTTTCTTTAAAAATTTTCTAATATTGTGTTTCTGCAGTGATTTCAATTTTATTAAAAACTTGGAGGAAGAGATGAATTAATAATACGCTGAGATTGAAGAATAAAGGATCAAAATTATTCATTAAGTAAGAATTAAAATTTTTCGAACGAATTTCTAAATTATCAAACGTGAAGTAAAAGTGAAGTCGTTGTATTTGTACTTTTTCACAGCTGTAATATTTCCACTACTTGCCCTCGTGGATTACGAGTGAAAAGAGCCAATCTTGTATCACAAAACTCTCAATCCAGCTCAGTCATTAGAATAGTGCTTTTAAGACGCTACTCAAACAATTTATTGATGGTTATCCTCAGGCAAAGAAAATTGCGGATTTTGGATTGTTGGTTTATTGCATAAAAGGCTGCTGATTACTTGGTGCCGAGGTCCAATAATTGTTGAATAGATCGTGTTCAAACTTATATCGAGTATAGGAAATGCAGTACCAATTAATACAACAAATCCGATATTATATACGAGTGGATCCACTGCAGGTGTATATTCGCACCACTTAAAGCTACGTTTGCAACCAGATGGATCTGGATTTTGCGTTTCTGTGCCATTAATCCATATGACTGAAAATCAATTTTAAAATGGTCTTATCAGGGCACACGAAACTATTTGGAATTGTATGAATATTTTAAAAGCATTTATCACCTATTAATATAAAGAGAGAACTTACTTTCTTGCTGATAAATAATTTTCTTTTTTAATCCCCACCATGGAAATGTTATTAGAAAGAAAAGAATAATTGCAAAAATTCCAACAATAAAGGCAATTCTTTGGTCGATCCTGAAACTTGATATTTCTAACACTCCATACATTATTTTTATTGTAACATTTGATTCGATTTTCATTTCTCGCAAAATCTTTCAAAGGTTTTTTAGCATCAGTTTTTTTGATGGGATTTTTTCAATCTTTAGTGTTTCATGTCTAAAATCTATTCGAATTTAAGTGACAAGCAAATGAAGTGCATTTATGGAACATAAAAATGGACGAACCATCTATCCATTTTGCAAGCTTTATAGCCAAAATAAATAAAAGTGGCAACTATACCAAAGGCGGAAAGTGCAATTGATGTGTATAATGTTAATTCAGATCTTGTCCAATTAAACATAGTTGCTGAATAAATTGGAGCGATCCTGAAATTACGACAAGAATAGTTCATCGATGTGAAAAGCAAATGATTCAGTGATCTATAGAAGGGAATGTTTCAGTTATTCATTTTAAATTTAAATGCTTATCGTAGTATTTGCAGAATTTCTCGCTAGTCTTCATAGCTTTCGTCTATAGCACGCTTTAAAAGCCCAGTGTATACTTACCATTTCAAGCCATCATACGGTCGATTCCTGTCTTTTGACTTAAGCAAATTAATTGTTATCAAAAGCGAAATCCGGTTGGCTTGGGACCTACTTCTACTTTTGTCACCAAATAGCTCTTTGGCTAAAATACTGTTAATAATAAGAAGAGAAAGCCAAAATTCAAAAAATTCTCAGCACTGATAAATATTTTCAGATCGAATCGCTGCATTTCGTTTTTCGATATTTAGTTCTCAATATAACATCAGTAGAGAAAATGAGTTCAATAAGTTTGAAAAGAAAATATTCAATGAAAATATTGAAAGATAATTTGTAAAAAGTATAAAAAAATAAAGAAAAACAAACACTTCTAGATTTGTCGAGATGAATGTTTGTATAGAATTGAAGAAAATGCATATGAAAGCTGCTACTCGATCATATTTTGGTGGGTGGAAAAATCTTGATTGTTTGTCTAAAGAGAAAATTTCCCGTTTATTCCTTTAATTCATCATTATCAGTCATTCCGTTCGATCAAATAAATACCAAATGCTATGTGTACAGTAAATGATGACTCATTGTCGTTTTATCTTGGTAGTGATTAAAATGATTAAAATTTCCATTTCAAATGAAAATGGCTAACCCAAATTTCCTATGTGTTCCATTTCAACATAACGTTCCTCAAAAAACGCAAATAGAAATAGCATCCCTATGATATCCATCACGCACGCAGTAAACACAGGTGACGTATAGATATTCAGTGATAAATTCCCAAAGATTCTCCAACCAGTAGTTCCCAACGGAGCAAACAAAATTTGAAAAGCTTAAGCAAGTTAAGTTAAATTAAAGCAGGTAATACGTGATCCCAGTAATTAGTTATTAATAATAATATAAAAATATAAAATTTTTTGAAGTCATCGGACTGATTTGGGAACTTTTTGAAAATTCAGAAACATTAAAAATCGTGCAAAAACTTTTTGAAGACAAACAATCAAAACCCAAAAATTTTGGAAATGTAAGGACCGAATTTCGAGATTATAACAATCCAAAAAATTATTCAAAAAACTTGGTCCGATTGCCACTCCTAGCGCACGCGCTCCTATGATTTCCGCAATAGCACGCGGTCTATCGCTGATCGAACTAGCCATAATTGCGTAAGATCGTAGTAACGGTGTAACTACTGCAATCAGTTGCATAAATTCACAATTGCAAGTGGATGCGAAAATTAAATTTTAAATTTTCTTCATACGACAGTTGCAATTTCAACTTGTAAAAGTTCCCCAGTGTAAAATCAGTTAGAATTCCAAATTTTCGTTATCGGCCTTTAAATCCGTTTGACTTTTGGATTATGTGCTGTTAAAATAATTATGCACTACAACACTCTTATTCAATTCATAAACGAAAATTCTTTTTTTAAAATTAAACTGTTATTTAGAATTTTTCAGTAAGATTTAATTTAAAAATTTAAGATTTTTATTTATAATTTTCACTTAATTTCCACTTATTGTAGAAAATTCCTTATCACCCGCCGTGAATTATATGCATTATTAACCTGCACCAATTCCCATAATTATCCGACCGACAAGCATCACATAGCGTTGAAACCTTGGAATGACTGCAACACTCATATATATAATATTTCCGATAAGCATGAGCAATAATCCGATAAATATTGGTGTTTTGGTTTGACGAATTCTTCCACACCAATAGCCAAACAATGGAGAAGCAAAAGCCAGACACAAATTATATGCTGCTACTATGAGGCCATAGAAAGCTTCAGTTGCAAGCGGGTCAGTCTAGTATGATAGAGTGATTTATTACCCGATAATAATTTTCTCTAATTTTTAGTTTTGGTGCAAAAAAAATTATCTTCCATATACCTGTTCCAAAAACGGCCAAATAGATGAGAAATAAACGCTGAACTGAACAGATGAAGAAAATAAAATAATACTGGCAATATGAATCGAGAACCATGCAGAGTCACACGAATCCGAAACTGTCCCACTGTAATGAGCTTTTTTGATAGATATTAGCTACTAGCATACTACTAGTATAAAAATAAAAATGTTGGTAATTTTTATCTTATTTCGGAGCCAATACTCGGTTTTACTCCAGAGAGAAGAAAATCTGCTTTTCAAAAATTAGATGATGCTGGTGATCTACTTTTACTTCTACCGCCAAGTAATAACTCTCTGGTCCAACAAGCCAATAGAATAAGTTTAACTAAAAATAATAATCGCTATAGAGAAAAAGAATTATGAATAATTATAAAGAATAAAGAATAATATGAATAAAGAATTATGAAATGAATATTTATTGTCCTGATTTTCTCATTTTTTTTTCCTCTGTTGATATGAAAATGGGTCTTAAACCGTCTCCTAACATAAGTCGATAAACTTAGTGATAAATGGATTATCTTGCGAAGGATGGTATGGAGGAAAAAAATTGAAAATTTTATTAGAAATTAATTTATTTTTATGTCACATTGGCCTTAACAATTTATTCAATATGTAGTAAAATATATTTTAATATATACATATATATATATTTAGCAAAAAAAGGTTGCATATACCTCAACATAAATCCTTGAAGTGTTTTTAAATCGCCTTTCGATTTTTCTAATATTGTATTTTTCATCGTGTATTAGTTGATTAATCTGAAAGATTGCGGGGGTTGTCTCATTTTAACATAAATTGATGCCAATTTTGCTTTATTCCCTTAAAAATAAAATAATACAAAATGATATGAAGGCTTAAATGTCTCGGTGATTAGATGGAAGGAATATTTTTATACAGTATTTTATAACGAAATAACTATGATTGAACCATTCATTTTTCATGCCTAGCAATCAGTTTGAAATTTAAAAAATTGATGCGGAAAAGATTATTGATTCGCGCCATAAAATTTCAAAATATAGGCACAAAAAAGGTGAACTTCTATTTGCACAAGGTCGTTAGAAAAATAGAAGATGAATGTTTTTGCAATATGTAAATAAAAATTGCAATAAATGTCATAAAATAGGCAATTCAAGAAACAAAGCAAAGAGGCGTGCAAATATGGGAACATATAGTAACTGCCGCAGCATTTTTATAGGTGGTTAGATAACCATTCCTAGCAAATCGTTTTTCTTAATATTTTTTGCATCCGATGTTCCAATAAAATACGATTTTTTAAGAAGTGGGCCGCCTTCAAATTTTTTCATAGAAAATGAAAAATGGTTTGAAATCACTTTCATTTCCCAGCTGATAAAGACATATTTTCGTAAGAAATCGTCGAATCATCGACTTCATAGAATCAGTCCAATCACCAAAAATAATACTTGTCATATAAACTATAACGAATAACAAAAATTACATTTCCAAGTTAAACAGTTGCTGATGAATAATAATAGTGAAGCAGAAGAATTAATCACAAAACGACTGAGAACGATAGCTGAAAAGAGATTCAAAATGAATCTCTTCGAGTGATAATAGGGTTTATGTAATTAGAAACAATTAGATAGATAGGAAAAATAATAAATACTGTAAAAATTTTCAGGACTTCGAAGCTTATTTGAATTGAAGTTTATAAATATTTCATCGACAAAATTTCATTGACGGCGAATTTGGGACCAAATACAATTTTTATTAGTTGGAAAGACCATTATTTGCTAGGCGATAATTTTACGAAGAAATTTTATAATTTTAGTGAAATAAAATTATTGAAAATTCGGCGAAAAAGAAACCGTAGAATATTAATCTAGAATTATGAATTAACTCCGTTTGTAATTATGATCACTGCTTCATTTTCTTCTATGAATTTCGTTCCAATTATATGTGCAGATGCAACAATTACCACTTAAAAGTTCCTGACTAAAATTTCGCCAATTCCAGAATTGTGATATTTACGAAAATGGAAAATGGGTTAATGATATATACAAGCACCGGAAATTACAGGTTCAGAGCATCATCTCGAGCGCTAGAGCTCTGAATCTGCCTTTAATAGGAACATGTTTACCATTAAGAAAGCCGGTTAATTCTAGCCTTTACTCACACCTTTGCTTCTATTATTAAGTGACTCTTTAACGAAAATTTCTGACCATATTTCTGATCTAACAGTAGAGCGAACCCAACCAGAAATGATGAACATTTAGTTATTGATTCATTATCGCAGGTTAGTTGAGCATTGAATTTTTTTAATATTGCTTTTCCTTTGCAATTAAAATCAAGAAAATGCCAAAATAATTTAGAGAAATTTGAAAGAAATTCTAGAAATTATATATTTTTAAAAATAGAAAGATGGCACCGAAAAATAGCGATTGATTCATTCACCAAAGTTTTTGAACTGAATTTCACCGCATAAAAATATCGAATTTCCTGATGAATCTTTGATGATAACCAAAATTAATTTAAAAGAGAAAGAGAAATATAGGTAATTACAGTAATAGTAAAAAAACAGTTTAATGAAGTAAGAACAAGGAAAAAATTTTTTGAATGCAAAAATGAATCACTAAGTGGATCAAAAGTATAAATTAGTGGTTCACTCCTATTTGGCGCACTATTAATTCAAAAAATTAACGATGATTTCATGATTAATTTTTCGGGAGAGGAAATAAATAATTAGAATGAACTACCTTGTTTCTAAACCTCTATCAGATGTTAACAAAAAGGAAAAATGGTTATGAACAACTGGAATCGTTTGTTTTTTTTTAAGAGCACTCACCATTACTGACTGGATCCGTTCCGCTGGCTTGTTATGCTAGATAGATATTCCAGGGAATCCTTTGGCGATATAAACACGAGTCGCCAACACCACTCGAATTTTCGGACAGACCAACAGACCAAAGCGGGGAATAGAACTTCAGTACCTGCGCTCTGAACTGAGCAGTAATCCACTGAGATATTCTGCTCTTTTTTTTCTTCGTTAAGCGACAGCAGTGCCGCTCTGACGAAGAATGATGCATCAGAAGAACTGAGTCTCAGTTTTCAACGGCAATCATCTTGCCACTCATCCACCGATGTAGCTTTATCGGTAATTAATTCATAGTAAAATAAACCATCCTCAAGGATTTGTTTGAGTACCTAAATTCTAACAGAAAGATCTGAATAGTACTAGCCTATACTTCTATAGTCAGATGACTACTTTCAGCCAAAAATTTCTTATCGTATTAACAAAGCCGAAGCAGAGCCGAACAGAAATGGTGAGCCCTTACATTTAGCATACCAAACTGATTTCGACGATTTAAAATGTCTTTTTTCGTTTTGAATACCTTGATCGTTTGTTTACATCGTGAATTATCGCTTATCAGTTGAATTATTTTTACGAACAAAATAGTGGCTGGTAGATGGTTAAGGTAAAGTGATTAGGATGAAGAAACTATTTGTCAAAACATAATTAATCATTATCAGTAATAAATCAGTAATGGAGTGGCATACTATTAAGAAAGAAAACAAGGAATTTGCAAAATTCTACTTATTGAATTTGCATAATATGAGAGGAGAAAGAAATAAATAGAGCACTTTACGCCTTGTTTAAACCTTTAATCAGATAAAGTCAACAAAAAAAAGTGTAAAAAGTGAAAATAAAAAGTAATTGCTGGGAAATGGCTCAGTGAGTTGGCTCATCGCCGATGCTGAGATTCTACTTTCCACACGAGTGAAACCTCGCCAAGAAATCTGCATAATGCTGGCGATCACTTATCTATCGCCAAGGGTCTCCTTAACAAACCAGCCAGCGAATTTAACGAATTTAATGGTGTAATATCTTTTTGTAATAGTGATCACAATATCATTCATGCTTCATTAAAATTAGACCGTTATTCACCTCCCTCGAGATTTTCTAGAAGTTACCGTCACTGTAATTATGAAATCTTTAACTCTATCCTCGCAGAA